GTGCGCAAGCGGGATGCGGCAACGGCGGCGCGGAGGGGGCGGGCGCTGGGCAGAGCGCGCTTGCGCACGCGCGGCGGGGAGGGCTCTGTGCGCAGGCGCCAAGTGCTGGGCGGCCGCGCGCGCTGGGCGGGACTAGGAAGGGGCGGAGCTTCCCCTGGGTGGCAGAACAGAATCCCATGGAAAAAAAAAACACTTTTTTAACTAATTAATCAAATATTTAATTAAATATTTGCGGGTCATGTTTTTTTGCTCCACTCTATGAGTAAGCCCAGGGGAAGGGCAGCTGATCTGAAAGGATAAACTGACTGTTCACTAGGTCCTGTCATGTTCCTAAACCAACAAAAAACAGGGTGAGGAAGAGACAGAAGAGCAGAAAAAGTTAAGATTTTACCACTGTTATTTTTACTGTTAATTAAAAAAATGGAGCAGGGGCATCCAGGTTTCACATGTCCATGGGAAGACTGCTTACTAGACTTCCTAGTGTATTGTGGTCTTTACTTAAAATTTACGTAAGATTTCAGATCTTCTGTTTCAATAATAATAATGAAACCCTGAAGCTGCAGTTCCCAGTTGGGTACTGCTGCAACAACTTGTTAGTGCATAACGTACTTCCATGTCACAGTTACATTCCAATAGCTATCACACTCATTTTAAGATCTGAAACTTTTTTCTTTCATTTCCCAATAGTAGCAGCACCTTCATGGTGTTACAATTATTTTTACTATAACCTGGGAAGTCATCACTAGATTCCCTAAAATCACTAGATTATTTAAATTCCTTTGCTGCTCTGGTCTTAAATGTGGACCTATTAGTAAGTTTACCTCTAACATGGTATTATCCCTTTTAACAAAAACATAAGTTTCAGAACAGTAACATAACTGTGTATATCCGTTCATTTTAACAGTCTCCCAAGTTTAGCTATATGCTTACTCTGCTATTTCGTGGACTGAACTATGACACTAAAGGACAATTTGTATGAATCCTTTGCCATTTTCTTTCCCCCTAAGATGACATTGCTGTTATGAACACCTTTGAGCAAACTGGTAGACATTTCAGTGTCCAGTACTATATAACTCAAAACAAGTGTGATTACCAAGAAGATGAAGTTCACCTCACTGCATTTCTCTAACAAGTGCAGTTTGGTTCATGACATTATACATATCATATAATATCTCTTAAATTAACAAAATAAATTTGACAATTCAAGATACTTCTAAAGTTTTTAATGTAATCCGGGTAGTATTTGCAACAAGCAAGACAGTGACTAAATTAATGGATATATTATTTGTTTCTCAAAATAGACACTGTAGGGTTTTTTTTTTTCTCTTTTTTTCTCCCCCTCCAAAGAGCACCATAACTACATTCTACCAGCCTGAGAAAAGGTAAGGCATTTCATAATGGATAACTATTAGGCATCAACATAAAATCAGTGAAATTGGAGTTGAGGTTTCTCATTATCTTAGAGGATCTGATTAGTTAGCAACATGACTATTTTTTTTTGTCAGACTACTCAAAAAAAAACTATCAATGATAATTACAGGCAAGATTAAATGTCTAACAACATTTTATATATACATCTATAAGTAGTAAAGACTTTCATATCCCAGTTACCCAGTGAGTACGTGAATCTTTGATTCTGAAATATTGTGAGGAAACTTTGCAGGAAGGAATACAAGTTTCAGCAGATGGAAGCTAGCATTAAGCCTCAACTGCTTCCACAATTTTTAGTTCAAATGCTATTACTTTGCAATATAATACACATCCCTCTCCCTTTAGACATTACTTCAGCTAAACAAAAGTTCAGCTAGGAAAAAAAGAGTGACAGAAAATAAGGTCACCCTTTTACAAGTGTGTTTCAACAGATAAGCATAGGACAAATCATAGCTCTGATCTCAGAGAGCAGAAAAAATGTTCCAGCATGAAAATGCGACTCCAAGAACTTCTTTAGCACAAGCATTGCTGGAACAGCTCTCAGAAGAGCCAGAGGCAAGACAATCTTTGTAGCCTGAACTAAAACACTACATCCATCCACTACTAGCCATTGTTCCGGGGACAGAGCATAAACGCAATGAGTAAATTCAAAAAATGCAAAACTCTCCAGAACCAAGATCCAGCTTGCAACTTCTATGTCTATGGTCCAGCTCTTAAATGTTGCCATTTATGCTTTTCATGCAGCTTTTTGGTAGGAAATGTGACATTGCACTTTTTACACTTGTACACTTTATGTGTTTTTGCATGCTTTTGCATAGCATATCTATCTATTGTAGAAAACGCACACCTTTTGCAGTGCAACTTCAGATGAGTTAGCAGATGGCGCTTCAGGTGGCCAGATGTGCGGAAAGAAATCGAACACTGACTACATTTGAATGGCTTCTCTCCTGTATGAATTCTCAAGTGCTGCTTAAAGTTTCCATTGTGGGTTGTGGTATAGCCACACTCTTCACACGTGTACGTTTTGACCGGCAGTACCTTTTGTTCATAGGCATTCCCACCAGATGAGATTTCGTTATCAGAGTGCAAAGTCAGATGCCGTTTCAGGGTTAACCATTTGTCTGTTGAATAGTCACAGGTCCTACATTTGAGATGTTTCACATTAAAATGTAGGACCTTGTGTCGTTTCAGGTGACTGGAAGTACGAAAGTTCTTTTGACAAACACTGCAGCTGTAAGGTTTCTCACCCGTATGGGTTCTTACATGCAGCTTAAGATTGCTTAAAATATAAGTAGTGTATTCACATTCTGAGCACTGATAGAACTGAGGCTGACTCTGTGTTCCCAAATCATGCTCCTTGCTCCTCTGGACTTCTGTCTGTTCTCCACTTGCCTTCAGAGAAAGCAAGGAATGGACACCATTTAAACCTTCTGAGGGAATAAAACTTTCGGGATACGTATCTAGATGCCCTTCATGATGCAAATCAAAATCCTCTAAACATCTGTCTATGCAGAGGTAGTGACCAAAGTCATATTGATTCTTTACATGAAGACATCTGTGCCTCTGCAAAAGGCTTGAAGTTCTAAATGTCTTACTGCATTCTTTGCACTCAAACAGTTTTTTGTGTCTATGTTTTCTTAGGTGCACCTTAAGGCTGTTGTAAGCAGCAGTTGCATAATCACACTGTTCACATTTGTACATTTTGAAAGAGGACAAAGTGGAAGGCCATGTATCCTTAAAGTTTTCCCCAAGTCTATGGTATGCATCGTCTTCATTATCAACTTGAACTTGGGAATAAGTGACCTTGGGGCTGAAGAGGGGCTCTTCTTTGCAAGTCACAGTATCTGCTATGTTTGACTCTGGAAAAACTTTTGAATCATTCTCAGTAGTAGGCAAACTGCTGCTTCCATAGCTGTTTTCAGGGAATTTCTGCCCAGAGCACATTTTCTTATTGTCCCACATGCCACCTGACTGCTTAAAGTCCAGTTCCATCATTTTACACATTTCTCCAGCTGGATGACTGTCCTCAGAAAGAAATAGAGAAACACAGTCACGGGAATCACTGTCAAGTTGATATCGTTTGCTTTCACAGTACTCATTAGTCTGATCTATATAACCATTAGTCTGTTCATGAAATTTTTTATGAAAGTTAAGATGTCCCCTAGTATAAAACACTAGGTGACACTCATCACATGCATAACTCTTTAAAGGTCTTTGAGTTCTCTGCCTTTTACTTACACATTCACTGAGTTGCTGCCCTTGGTGTGTTTCCTTCCCAGCATGGAATTTTCTTCTGTGTCTCTCTAATCCGCTGTCGGTTGCGAATGCTGACTTGCAGACCTCACAGGTATACGGTTTAGTTCCTGTATGGATATAGCTATGCCTCACCATGCTTGTAAAATACAAAGACAAAAAGTTGCAGAACCTGCACTTATACAGCTTATACCCAGCATGCCAGTACATGTGATTTAACATGTAGGATAAACTAACGCAGGAATAATCACACTGAGGACACTGGTAAGGTGGTCTCTCTTTATGACCCTTCAGGTGATGGATAAAAATCCTAGGATTTGATGAAGCAAAAAAACAAAGTTTGCAGGAAAAAGTAACAGGAACATCCACAGTAAAGTCCTTTTCAATTTTGACAAATAAATTCTCGTATTTACTTTCCTTTTTCTTCATTTCAGATTTTCTTTCTTCAGTTTTTCTCTGACTTTTTTTAGCATTCAGTCTATTTTTTCTTGTCTTTTGCAACCTGATAATTTTCTTGTGAAATTTAAGGTGATTTTTAAGGTTGGCAGAAAAGAAGAAGGTTCTTTTACAAAAGCAGCATTTATATTTTTTCTTACCTTTATGAGCTGCATAAACATGCTTCTTTAGAAGCACAGTACATTTAAATACAGAACTACAGAACCTGCATTTCAAATTTAACTTTTCATGCTTTCTTATAGAACAAGATCCCTTAGAAAGAGGTTTGATGCTCACATTGTTACTTAACCACGATAGACCTTCTTGCTGGCTTTGCAATTCTTTTGGACTTGCACAAGAAATTGCATTTTGTTGCCGATACTTTTTTCTGGAAAATGGAGTTAATGATTGATAAATATGCTCCGTTGGAGAATTTGATTCAGCACAAAGAAAAGCATTCCTCTCCATATTTCCTACATCTTTTGGCAATTCTTCTGAATTTGGAGAAAGTCTATTAATAACTGGAGCAGAGCTACTAAGAGTAAGCTTCAATTCTTCTCTCAACTCATGCTCTAAAAGAAAATTCTGAGGTTCATCTTCAGATTTGCTTCTCCTTCTTGTTCTGTTAACTTCATAACTTCCATTCTTTGAAGAATCAGTATCTAGAAAATATACACACAAACAAGATTTCACACATTAACCAGTGTTCTTGACTATTCCATAGTAATACTCCAAAACTGCCTACTGTGTACTTCGCTCTTCATTCTTTTTGCTTTCTTAATATTTTCTTACTCCATTTCTTTTTCCCTGGCCACTTCTTTCCTCTACATTCCATCCACCCTTAAATAATACTGTAAGAAAAGTAATCCTATTATTCGTGTCTATTTCACTCTTTTGCTCAAAGCTCTGAATTTCACCAGACACACCACCACCTCTCTTAAAGCTTTCACAAAACAGCTTTATGTCAGAATTCCTATCAGGGCACTATTGAATTTTGCCACCTGAAGAACAAGGCTCAGCAATCAGCTTAGTTATCTCAGAAATACAACACAATTTGCCGTCTTCTGTCTTTTAAAAGAAGAAAGTACTCTTGGTATTCCTCTACTTTGTCCCATCCTTCCTGAAGGACTTGATCTCCTACAAGAAGTGCTGAAGCTTAAACCCAAGTTATGTCCCTCCCAGTCTGTGCTTACATTAAGTATAATTTCCTGATGCTTTTTTCTCTCTCTGTCTATGAGAGAGAAACTTCCAAAATTTGTTTTCAGATCCTCTTTCCTAATGAAAGGCACCCTCTCTCAAGCCATCAGTAGAATGAAACAGTATTAGCTTCTTTGCTATTTTTTTCATAAAGGTTTGTAAATATTCACTTTCAGCTGCCTCTTAGCTTCTGTTTGAAGCCTTCCTACCTACTTCAAACTTGATACCTATGATTTCTTCCACCCTTGCACTCATATCATTAACGAGTTACCTCCTGTTTCAGCAGTTGGCTCCATCTCTGTGTGTATTTCCGGTTTTTTCTCTTGACTGCCATAAGAAAGAATACTTGCAGTGTTGGCAAGTTGTTGTTCAGTTTTGGATGTTGGTGCTAAAGTCAGCTCTCCTTCTGCACTGATGGCCTTATCTGTGCCCTCTTTGCCAGCAGGGAAGAGAAGAGGAATCTTCTGAAAATGGTCATCATCACATCCCTGGTTTTCACTGTTTTCATCTGCCTCTGCAAGCTCTGTTTTGCAAGGTGATGTAGGTGATGCATCATTTTGATTGTTTTTATCCTTGCTTAGATCACATTGATCAACTAAAGATGATAAAGTTGATTTTGAATTGTCATACACACTCTGGGCATCCCATTTTTCTTCAAAGTACTTTACATGATCATGCTTATTTGAAGTAGTCTTATCTTCCCAACTCCTTAATCTATTGTTTTCTCTTGCAGGTGTCACATTGCTTTTTAAGAAGCTGCTATTATCCAAGTTAGCCTCCTGCTCATCCTTTTCCTGCAGCTCAGGAAGCGATGTTGCCTGCTCTTCACTGTCATCTTGGAGAAAATCATCATCACTCAGAACAAAGATAGTGATTGGGAGGACAATTTCAAAGACATCTGAGCCTACGGATAGAAAAAGAGAGCATTAATACTGTTCTGAAAACATGAAAAGCATATGTTTTTCTTAGATCTAATACATAGCACAGCACTATCCCACAGCTACAAGATATAGCATCTCCATCTCTTCAATTTTTCCATACATAAATAATCTCTGACATTTACAGCTGCAGATAGCTGTGATGCCATCCTGCAACCCTCATCATCGAGCACACACACAAAAAAAAAAATTACTTGCATTCTAGAAGTGCCTAGCATCCACTGCTGAAATTATGTCTCTACAGAAACTATATATATATTGCAGAGCTCACTCCTGTATTGGCTGAAAAGTAGAAAGAAAAATAGAAAACATAGTAGAGAGAATATGCAACAAAGCAAGAATAAAAAAGCAATAAAGCGACTTGGTGAAGGTAACATGTTAAGTCAACAAAGCATCAAGGAACAGGGTGCTCAACCCCCTGCACTATCTTCATCAGACTCCACCATGTTAAGCCATGAGAGTTCTTTACTTCCAAGCTGGAAAAGTATCCAGAAGGAGGAGAAAAAAAAAAAAAAAAAAAAAAATTCGTTGTAAAACCCTCCGTGTATCTCCCCCAGCAGGTGACCTAAGCCTGCTTCCTCACACAGCAGGTGGCTCCTAGATGGTGGCCGCAGGCCCTGCCCACCTGCTCGGCCTGCCCAGCTCTCTGGAGCTGCTTTTCCACACACTTTGCCTACACTGCGGCCCAGGTGACTCCCTCTCCACAGGGGATCTCCTCTCTCACAAGAGACAGGTGTCTCCCCCCACCCCCAGCGTTTGATGACGAGTTTATCTGACGAAAGAAAACAAACAAAAAACCAAAAAAAAAAAAAACCCAAAAAACAAAAGCCACCCCAAAACAACAACAACAAAGACACTCACAAGAACAAAGACTCAAATCCACAGCAAAACCAGCGCGCGCCCCCTCACCAACCCCACTGTGCGCACGCGCAGCTCAACACCAACGCTCGCCTGATGGGGCGGGCAGGCTCCCCCCAACCCGCCCGGCTCCTCAAACACCTCCGCGCCCCTTCCTCCTCCCCGCGCGGCCCGGGCCCCACCAGGTTGCCATGAAGGTATCGGGCACCTACCGCCATCATCCGCCTCCGACCCCTCCGGCGGCCCCGCCATCTC